TATATATATATATATATATATATATATATATATATATATATATATATATATTTTATATATTAAACACATATATACACATATATATATTAATAAATATATTAATTTCAAAGATATTATTTTAAAAGATAACTTAGTATGATAGGCTCTAAATACAAAATAATATTAACGAGTAAATGATGAGACGAGCAATTTCAGTATAACAAAGTAATAAATAATAAGATCTCAATATAAAAGAAACTTACATAGAAATGGACGTACGTACTTTGACAAATAAGAATAATGTTAGGAGCGTGTCGAGCGAGCCGCACTTGTCAACGGTGCCGATATTACTAACGTGTGATTTTACAAGGCACAAAGGTTAACCATCGAGGTATAGACAACAAACATAATATCGCAAGAACTTAAATTTTTTCCAGGTTGTCTATTATTGATAAATATCTTTTGTCTAATTGATCTGTATCGTTTTGAAGATTTAAACTATTTTTTTGGCGTTTGATATAAATCATTTCAGATATCAATATCTTCCCTAAAATCGGTTTATCATCCAAGATCTATATTTTTTTTTATTTTCTTATGTTTGTGCAAAGTATTATTTACATCTTTCAATTTCTCGTCTTACTTGCTTTCAGCATTCATCGTATTTGTGTCAATCAGTCTCTCATTCATTCTTTATTAACTGTCGTTATAGCGTTGCCGAATGTCGTGAAGCAAAGTGGCGCATGGCTAGATAAAGGTCTCGTCGAGATAGGGAAACCGGGCGGCATGGGTCTGCCGCGTTTCTCCCTAAAGAGATACTTTTTCTACGTGCTATGTCTGACGGGTACGCTGCTTGTCCTACTGAATTTACTGCAGGACGAGATATGGCACAGCGTACGACCACATCCTCCTGGGCAGCCGCAGCAGTCCGCCCTTCGAACTGCCGGCGACGGGCCGAAGGTATGTATAATATATAATATATAATTAAATATGTAATATATAATTAATTAATAAAGTATAATTAATTAATTAAGTACGCGCGAGAAAAATCATTTCATTATCTGACCGCATATTTCCGATGCGAAAGGGATATATATTATTCTGCGCTACGTGCTCCTTTATTATCATGTTTATCTGCAGCGGTAATTATAATTGTATCGATTATATCAGGTATATAATATAATTGTGTCAATTGTATCAGATCGATATTATTCCGGAAGAGAGACGATAAGCCAAAAGTAAATTATTAAATATTATCTAAACAGTTATGGGCCACTTCGATCAAACTCCGATTAATTTAAACGTTGATTAACTTACAAAGCGACCAACAGAAAAATTTTTAATGATATAAGTCTCGTATATAGTATAATACAAATTTTAAAATTCTGCTTTTAGTCGCCCGGTAAATTAATCAACGATTAAATTAACGGAGTTCGATTGAAGTGACCCTAATTGTTCGATATTGATTGGGAAGATTGCGTAATAATATCATATGTAAAATAAAATTTCTCACTTATCGCGATAATACTCGCGATGTTATATTATAAAAGTGAATAAATTTTTCTTAAGATTAAATCTCTGTAATCTTGTTAGGCTAACAATAAGTTAGATTAGATCGGACGCGCGCGATAAAAAAAAATGCGTATAATCGTCGCCAGTGGCTATGTACATAAATTAAATCACAGATAAAGAAATAAAAACGAATTTCGCTCGCAGATGAAACCCGATTGGCCTTTGAAATCGAAGAAGCCGACGATGCGAGTATTACGCACTCGAGAGCAAGTGAAGAAAAGACTTCCGTTCGAGGTACAATCATTAAGTTGTAGCGCGTTAATTAATCCCAAAACGACAAGTGCACGGAAAAATATTTCAAAAAAATGAGACGTTACAAATTTATCATATTTTCGTGGACATATATCAATCCAAAAGAAATTTCCAAGAGATAAAAAGTACTTAAATAAAATGTACATGTATTTAGATTTACATAAAAATGTTCTATTATATATTAGATATCTTTGAAATCTTGTTTAATATTATCACTTTTTCCGTGTGTCGTCTCGCTTGTTCTAGCGTCTTTTCAAATATAGTGCGTACGTTTTCTTTACAAACTTAGTGGCTTCCTCTTTTTCGTCTGGCCATTCATAGCGCTAATATCATTATTTATCGTAATTGATTGCCAAGTGTACATTAAGGAGAACCGTAATGTTCCGAATAATATATAAATAATAATTTCTTTATAAAATTCAGTGAATGAATTAAATGGAAAAATATTATTTCAGCATTAAAAAATTTGAATATTTTAATGCTGAAATAACATTTTTCCATTTAATTTATTCATTAAACTTTATAAAAAGATTATTATTTATATTTTGTTCGGAACATTATATTTAAAATATATTAATATATATAATATTAATAT